CTTCAATGCCGATGACGGTGCGTTGGAAGCCACAAGGAGTTCACAAGAAGTTACATTAACATCATTAACATCACTAGCCCCGCCCACTTCGTTTATGACCATAGGACTACACCCTATAAAACAGTCTGCATTCAGCAGCTTTCCTCCTCTTTCCTCCTGATGACGATTGCTTGTGTTGTGATCGCAACGTCGTAGTTTTTTTTAAAAAAAATTCTTTGAACCATCTACATGACTTTACCGAAAGACCCAAAGAATATGAATAAGAAGCCACCTAAACAAACACGTCCTCGTGAAAGACCCGACACATAAGATCCTTGTTTTTTTTTAATCTTCCGCGAAGCTTCTGGGCCACAAGCCCTGAACCGCATCCGCCACACAATCCATGGCAGCAGATGCGGAATTCCTCAGGAAGAGCTGTCTCCAGGGAAAGGGAGGTCTGAACCGCCCTGCCGCCGCGACCCTCACCAGGACAAGAGGATTGAGAAACGAACGAACGAACATCTGCGGATACTTAAAACAAAAATCTCTCGGCTGCGCAACTGTCGTTACCAGGAAGGGAGCGTGGAATTTCCAATGACTGAATGCGAGGTTCGCAAATATGAATGAGGCGTCATCACTGCGATGATGCACTGTGCTACTCCTGGCGCAGTCACCTGGCCTCAACCACCTCGATGTACAATCGTAGCTGTTGCTCGACGCCAACATTGGCCGTACGAAGAATACGATGCCGGTCCTAGTTTTGAAATACGAATGTGTTAAAATACGAATTATAACGCGAAGACAAAACTATTTTAATTTCAGCACATAACTGAGAGTACAACAAATCGTGACGCTATGGTTTTGATTATGAAAGTACCTCGGCAATTTATCCTAGGACTAAAGTTTCGTGTTTAAACCGTTATAAACCTCTAAAAAGCAATGCATATCGCTTTCCTCATCTAGTTCTATGCTCCTTCTCATCATCTCCGTTCACAATCCCAGTTGTCTCCAGTTGTCTCTGTTGCCCCTCCTCCTTGTGCCAAATCAAGATTCCGTTCTTTCTCGCTTCTAGCCCCCTTACACTGGAACTAACTATCCCAACGTGCCAAGCAAGCATCCTCACTCACTATTTGTCGTTCTTCCTTAAAGCACTCACTTATTTTCCCTTGTTTACCTCCACTCCCCTTCCCCTGCCCTTCCCCATTATTAACACCATCCCTCTTCCCAACTTCCCTACCAATTAATTATACTCACTCATCATTAACCACTCATTGTCACCTTCATTATCATTTATTTCACGCATAATTATATTCATGTACTACCATCCTCATCAACCCATCTCATCTCACTGTTTTACTGTACAATTGCGAATTCTCCGCTAAACGCCTTGGTTAAGGCACTAAAAAACATTTTATAGATTGAAAACTAATTTCTTTAGAACTGCTTGTGTTTAGTTTGTTGCCCTTCCCCGTACCTCCAATCAGCACGATTGGCTACGTACGGTGCGAAATAAGTTCAACATACATAAGTAAATAAATGATTAGATTTATATTTTTGGTGGCATCTTAAAAACCGAGGCCCCAGGCTACAGCCCCGAAAGCTCTCTGTCCTAATCGGGCCCTGCCTCAATAGAACACCCGCTATTGACTTCCCACAAAGTGGTGCTAAATTTCTTGATCCTGGATGGATGATGGATGGGCTGAGTCTTCTCGAACAAGGATTTTCAACTCGGCAATCTTGCGATTGTGAGCCGAGATGTCTCTGCCACAGCAACACCCAGCTGGAGTAGTTTACACACGCACACAGATATATATTATATACTGCTGTGCATTGTGTGACTCGTGCCCATACGTGGGGACAAATTATGTTTATACATCTTGGTATTTTTTTGTTTTCGAAGAGTTATTCGTTTTCACACGGAGACATCAATACGTACAGATATATGAGTGAGCACATATAAGTGGGGCTTGGATGGCGATGCTAATGCAGGGTTAATGCAAATCGTTGGGTTTGTCGCCCTCACAGCCGTTCTCCTCCCCTTCGCATAGAAGCAGGGGTCGTCGGAGTACCCCGCTCGCCGCCAACTTAAGTGTATGAGTTCAATTCCCAGTTGAGCGTGGACTCAGCCCTTCAGCCCTCAATGCATAGATAAGCGACTTTGATCTTTGAGAAGATACCAGTAGCTTGTTCTGTGGAGGGATGTACCCCACCATGAAAAATGTGGAATTTCCACCACTGGCTTAGGGCTATAAATGGCAGAGGAGTACAGCCTCACCCTTGACTTTTGCTTTTAAAATATTTCTGCCATAGCATCTCTTCACCGTGTCCCATCGTATATTGTCAACCGAGCTATTAATCATATATATTGTGCCACTCACTGGCAAAAGCCAGTTTTTTTTAAATATAAATGTTGTATTTTAAAATTGTTGTCGATGTGAATGCGATTAATTTTGATGTTTGTCTAAATACAATCTGTTCTCCTATAACGCGGTAGTAGTTTCATTCCTGAAGAACGCTGTGTTATGGAAACATCGCGTTATAATACATCTTATATAATATAGGGGGTAAAGCGCAGTCCACGATAACACATGAGATGCGTATGTAGGCTGAACAAAGACTGAGGCGCGTGGATAGCATCTAGAAGCATCCACAAGCGCTTATTCCTACTCGCGCAACGTAGTTCCATTTACTCGATCTCGTTATATCCAATTCGCATCCGCGTTAGAAAAAGACGTGTTCCCTAATACATTAATCGCGTTATATCCAATTCGCGTTATGAAAACAACGCGTGGCATTATAGGAGAACGGACTGTACAATATAAATAGCTTGACCAATGACACAAAAGCTTAACTTGTAAATCATGGAAATGTGTGGGCAGACACAACATGTTAGCACTGTGCAACTCACTTCATATAACGTACATTAGTCAAATAACCCATAAACTGGGGATCACATGAATAGGCATTCAATAGTGGTAGGCACATATTACAGTCAACAAATTGTACTGGTTGTTTGAATAAAGCAAAACAAAAAGCCCCATGTGCTTGAATTATTTAATTCACAACCAAACAACTCACATTAAACAAATACACGTTTCAGCTGCACATTCGTAGCTTCTTCAAAGCGCTTAGCGCGTGTCATGAAAACGACCGCTAATAAGTGGCAAACCAAGCCGTATGCTTGCAGCAGCAGCAGCAGCAACAACAACAACGCACGAGATCGTGAAGATTAAAATGATTAAAAAAAATAATAATCATGCAGGAGCAGCGCCGCGACAGTTTGGTACGCGCTGCTGAGCGAGCACGGAGCGCCGAACGATGCGAGCCAGAACGTCGTCGCGGGCGCCACCCAACGCGATAGGATGAAGGAGCAGAGACGTCGGCGTTCAATGAAGCTCCGGCCCCCTTTTGTTGCCGCACGGCGCGGGAAGGGCCGCGCTGCCTTCTAAGGGCTCGGATGAAACGAGCGTCCCGGAAACCTATTTTTTATGATCAATTATTATTAATTTCTTACGTTGATTAGCATATCACCTACAAATGCCTTTGAAGTTATTAATTAATCAACGTGTTGAAGGATTTGATTTATGTTCCAATTAATGTAATCCCATACCATTTAATGAACGTATGATCTTTTGGACTCGGCCAATGTTCTTATAATTTAATCCGCAACTTTGCGTGCCAAATTCCAGTTCCGATACATTTAATAAGAAATCCCTCATCTGTTATTTTTGTATGTGATAGGAATATATAATATACATATTTAAATTACTATGATCACCAGCAGTCATGATCAATCCATTGCTATATGAAGGCCTCCCAAAGCCATTGTCATCTCAATATAGATCTCTCTCAAGAATGTGTCTTATATGCGTTGGACGAATCCAAGACCTTTAAGCAGAGTTACTCATTCTTCCTATTCACATTTCTCCTATAACACGTGTTGTTTTCATAACGCGAATTGTATATAATGCGATTAATATATTAGAGAAGACACTTTTTGTATAACGCGGATGCAAATTGGATATAACGCGATTGAGTGAATGGAACTACATCGCGCGAGTAGGAATAAGCGGTTGTACGGCGGCCTCGGCGTAGCATCACACGAGACATTGGGATGCTGCTGGATGCTTCTAGATGCTACGCATGCTCCTCAGTCTTTGTTCAGCCTGCGTACACATCACGCGTGTTATCGCGGACTGCGCTTTGTCCTACATTATTTATTATTTATTTTAACGTGATTTTTCCATAACCCGGTGATCTTCAGTAACCCAACCACCGCGTTATATCAAACATGCATCAGTTGGTTAATCGCGAGCCTTTAGTGGGAATTACATATTCCCCTGGACCAGTGTCTTCGTGGGACAGTCACTGCGTTATCATCCAATCGGCACCAGGGTGACAATGGAATAAACCTTTGAACGGGATCGGCATTTACAACCTTCCAATTGCGAGTTGCTATTCCTGCCAAAGCACCATTGGGCAAACCCATTCCTACCAACTTGTAATGTAAATTTGTATTTAAATGTATACATTGTCTCAGGATCTTAAGGATGCTGGATAATAGATTACATAGACGTTTTAGATACAATGTAGTGTATCCTCAGCCTGTGATTTAACATCGATGCCAAGGCAGTAGCACAAGTCTGAATACTGATAAATAGGCAGAGCTCTGTTCAGTTTCCTTCACATCCACGTTAAAATGTGGGATCTATAAGCCTTCTATTGGCTTTCCAGACCAATTTGACTGAGAATTTACTTGTTAAAGGAGGTCAACTCCGAACTGGTTTTGATGTCCTGGGTTTTTATCAGCAGATTCAGGCTTGTTGAACAAGTGCTACCGACTTACCGAATGCTTTCTTTGGCGAGAACAACTCCATACAAACTCCGGGACCCCGTTGGAAACATCGCAATTGTGTACGTGTGAAGTGATACGTTTTCACGCTCTAGCTGTGCAATCTGAGACATCACGTGTGGGCCAAACCCGCAGCCGCATCACACAATGAGAGCCATCGTCAACTCACCTCGTCAAAGAGGGCCTCATCCTCGCAGTTCTCCAGGATCCGCGTGTTGTACGGTACTCCTGGAGATGGCGGGACACACGCACGCCGATTGGGAACTTCACCGGATCACCACCACCAACAAGCTTCTCGCATCGCACCAAGGCAAGCGTCTCATTGCCACGCCAAGACATCAACTTAAAAAAAAAACACATCTCTCTAATCTGGCCTTTGTAATGTCGCAGCAACGTTGTCATTGAATCTGAAACCTCAATGCATCTATAACAGGGTGCGCGTATATATATAATAGAACACCTTTAGATTTATAGATCACAATATACAATCCACAAAGCTATGGCCAGGCGCTATATGCTGACACATGAGGGATGAGAGGCTTGGGATGAACAGAAATGGCGCAATGTGTTGCTTTACACAATGCCAAAACGAAATAGAACCATTTCTCACGAAAGTGTCACGGGAAATAAAAGGACATTGGCAATGCACATAACATAAACTTTTAAAGGTGCACTTTACAATGGACTAAAACAAGTCATTATATATGAAAAAAACAGAAACAGAACATGCACACCCAGCCAATTTGCCACAACGATACGACCCACGAAGTAGCACTGCAATTATATTCAAGCCATCATGACCACAAGGAACAATTTATCTGTTCATATTACAAATCTCAGGAATATTTTCATTACTTCCACGGAATACACGGGGTTTCAAAAGGTAACACATTCATAATGCCTGGATTAACAAGACAATCTCAATCAGGGCTTTGGTATATTGAAAATAACATTCACTTAATTATTTTCATATGAAGTTTTTTTTTTTAAAAGAATACATTTGAACAAAGCTATACCCCGGAGTAAATGGTATATTGTTTCCAATAATAGTGAATCTGTTGCATTGAGGATATTATCATCTTTTGTTATTCAATGTCGATAAAGAGTTTAGCCTTTTATCCATTACCTACAACACTGCACAATATGTTCCGCTAAAGAAAATGCGATTCATTCGTCACATTTGAAATCAAAACTGACAACGCAAACACCCACTGACCCACAAGCAAAAAAAAAAACCCATAAAACACCCCCGTAAAAAAATAATCGTCCCTTATTGACCAGGTATGTTCACGCACCTCGAAAAGTTAGCTTCGCGACTCGGTCTCCCTTTCCACGCAACTCGGACACTTGCTTGAGGTGGACCACAAGTGCCATGGTGCCAGCGAGCTGCTGAACCACTGGAGTGAGGTGGAACGTCGCAGGCTCCGATTGGGGATGCCGTTGATGATGTTTCAGCGTGGCACTTCGTCGGGACCCGCCTAGGCTCGGATCTCGGGCCGAAGTTGGGCTGACAAGAGGATGTCGCCTCTATTCATGACGACGCTGTCCTCCTGCTGATTAGAACATTTAGCGTGGCGGGGTGAATTATTGAAGAGGCTGGCATCGCTTTACAGTCGCGGGTTAGCAATGGGACACTCGGCCCCCGCTAAGGCAACATCTCGCGTTTCACTGTGACTCAGATGCTCAAAAGGGGAGGGCGGTGGGTTTGGCGAAGGGAAGGAACCCAGGAAACAGAAACATGATACCACTTTGAAAATCATAGGTATTCCTGAGCAGTCCTCCCCGGGGCCTTGTGTGCTTCAAAGAAACATTGTCATTGCCTTGTAATGCCAGCGACGGTGAGCTCATGGCATATCGATTTATATTTTAGTTGGGAAATGTTTAATTCGATTCCAATACACCGTTTGCACGTAATTTGTCCCAGCGTAAAACGTCAGGTCACGTCGTTGTTGAATTACCGACACGTCTTGTTCAATGGTGCCAAAGGACTGGCAAGAAGCCTAAACAATAAATGCTGCATACATTTTATTTTTCTCAATGGCTTCACCTGATTTAATGCATACAGAGGTGCCATCGTGAAGCGATTATAAAGGATAATTGCATAGGCTTTTGTTCCAATGTACATTATGTGACTACACAACAGCTAAGCATATGCAGCACCTGAAATAAATTCTACCTAATTTTTATGATTAACAAAACGAAAATATAATTAATCTTGAGTCACGTGAACTTTTTGAAAAGCTTCACTTCAATTTGTACATTCGTTTATTATTATTATTTGTATTATTACTGCTTAAAACTGCACACATCATAGCAGGGGACCTACAGACTCCTTCCTTCACTGGGCCCTATTATCTGGGAGCAGCTTCTGGTGTAATTGACATTTTGATCAAATGATGTTTTTATATGTTCTAGCATGCATAGCGTGTCCAAAAAGCAATTTAGGCTATTGGAAGATACATGCCTATACTATCCCACAAACAGCACAGATGTGTTTCGAAACCAATGAACCTTAATACAACGAAAGAAAATGTATCTAGAATATTGTTTCCCTGTAGCTTACAGTGAGGGAAAAAAGTATTTGATCCCCTGCTGATTTTGTACGTTTGCCCACTGACAAAGAAATGATCAGTCTATAATTTTAATGGTAGGTTTATTTGAACAGTGAAAGACAGAATAACAACAACAACATCCAGAAAAACGCATGTCAAAAATGTTATAAATTGATTTGCATTTTAATGAGGGAAATAAGTATTAGACCTCTCTGCAAAACATGACTTAGTACTTGGTAGCAAACCCTTGTTGGCAATCACAGAGGTCAGACGTTTCTTGTAGTTGGCCACCAGATTTGCACACATCTCAGGAGGGATTTTGTCCCACTCCTCTTTGCAGATCTTCTCCAAGTCATTAAGGTTTCGAGGCTGACGTTTGGAAACTCGAACCTTCAGCTCCCTCCACAGATTTTCTATGGGATTAAGGTCTGGAGACTGGCTAGGCCACTCTAGGACCTAAATGTGCTTCTTTTTGAGTCACGCCTTTGTTGCCTTGGCCGTGTGTTTTGGGTCATAGTCATGCTGGAATATCCATCCACGACCCATTTTCAATGCATGCCCTGGCTGAGGGAAGGAGGTTCTCACCCAGGATTTGACGGTACATGGCCCCGTCCATCGTCCCTTTGATGCAGTGAAGTTGTCCTGTCCCCTTAGCAGAAAAACACCCCCAAAGCATCATGTTTCCACCTCCATGTTTGACGGTGGGGATGGTGTTCTTGGGGTCATAGGTAGCATTCCTCCTCCTCTAAACACGGCGAGTTGAGTTGATGCCAAAGAGCTCCATTTTGGTCTCATCTGACCACAACACTTTCACCCAGTTGTCCTCTGAATCATTCAGATGTTCATTGGCAAACTTCAGACGGGCATGTATATGTGCTTTCTTGAGCAGGGGGACATTGCGGGCGCTGCATGATTTCAGCCCTTCACGGCGTAGTGTGTTACCAATTATTTTCTTGGTGACTATGGTCCCAGCTGCCTTGAGATCATTGACAATATCCTCCTGTGTAGTTGTGGGCTGATTCCTCACCGTTCTCATGATCATTGCAACTCCACGAGGTGAGATCTTGCATGGAGCCCAAGGCCGAGGTAGATTGACAGTTCTTTTGTGTTTCTTCCATTTGCGAATAATCGCATCAATTGTTATCACCTTCTCACCAAGCTGCTTAGCAATGGTCTTGTAGTCCATTCCAGCCTTGTGTAGGTCTACAATCTTGTCCCTGACATCCTTGAAGAGCCCTTTGGTCTTGGCCATGGTGGAGAGTTTGGAATCTGATTGATTGATTGCTTCTGTGGACAGGTGTCTTTTATACAGGTAACAAGCTGAGATTAGGAGCACTCGCTTTAAGAGTGTGCTCCTAATCTCAGCACGTTATCTATATAAAAGACACCTGGGAGCCAGAAATCTTTCTGATGGAGAGGGGGTTAAATACTCATTTCCCTCATTAAAATGCAAATCAATTTATAACATTTTTGACATGCGTTTTTCTGGATTTTTGTTGTTGTTATTCTGTCTCTCACTGTTCACATAAACCTACCATTAAAATTATAGACTGATCATTTCTTTGTCAGTGGGCAAACGTACAAAATCAGCAGGGGATCAAATACTTTTTTCCCTCACTGTATAAGTGATGATCCTGTAATGGCATGTGATCAGACGTTATACCTTCAGAACTATATTGTACATCCCATTTAATTATTGTAGGGTTATGGATTTTAATTGTAGTTTAACTTAGTTATTGCGTTATTTTTGTTCATTGGTGTGTTTATATTAGTTATCATCTTTAATTCATGTCATTACTCATTTAAATCACATTTTCTTTCAAAAGTAACGAGCAATACAATATATACGCATGGTTCCTTCAATGGTTTACAACTGAGCTTGAAAGCGTTAATATCTGTGTGTCTGATAAGGTAATGAATATTATCCTTGTGCAAATAAGGAGTTAAAAAAAGTGTTCGTATTAATGACTTAGCCTATAGACGACCAGGCACATTTCTCAAAAGGTTGGCCAGATCTTGACAAAGATAATTGTTAATTACCTGGGTCTCTTCATCCACTCCGAGATGTCACGCGCCACGGCTAATTACGTCACACGCTGATGATTATGACGATGACGAAGAGTGACTTGCGCACAAGAGGATATCTACTGCACAGATGACGCAATGAAAGCAGTTGGTGTTCATCACGGGAAGTGATCACAGGTTGCGCGCAATGCAATTTAATATTTCCAAGGAGAGCACGATCATAATTACCGGGGGCAGTGGTGGCTATGCATGCCTGTAATCAGGCAAGGGTTGGTAGATCGCACAAATGTTGCATAGGCGATGGGCCATAGCCTGGCTTGTCAGAAGACGATACAGAAAAACGTGGAATCCATCTGTTCCCGCTGTATGGGATATAGTGTTCCCCCCTCGCATGCATGTGTTGTCCAGGTGCTTAGGTTTCCTCCCGCATGTAAACACTCGCTAATTGCCCAATAACACCTTCATATAGAGGACCTATGAGTCGTTCTCTCTCCACAGGAGTTAGTGAAAACTCTGTGCGTTACCAGTTGAAATAAAAAAAATTGATAAGCACTAAAAACACATAGAAAGGAGAATTTAGACTGATTAGTTTAAATGCTTACAGACGTAAAAATGCTTGTCACAGCAGTGAATAATGAGAAATTGTAATGGATGAACGGTGCGCTGCAGTGTTGATTGGCCTCGATCTCTCAGCCGCCTCCGATACCATCGAGCAGGAGAAACTCATCGGGCGGCTACGGTCAAGCTTCGGTGTATCGGGTATGGCACTGGGGTGGATTGAGTCATACCTACATGGTCGATCACAGTTCGTCAGGCCGGGTGACGAACAGTCATCGCCGATGCCGTGCCCAGTGGGCGTAACGAAGGGGTCCGTCCTCGGGCCCTTCCTATTTTCAACATCCGTCTCTCCGATCGACGATGCCATCTCATTGCATGACATAAAGTTCCATCAATGCACTGATGACACACAATTGTACATCGCAGCAATGTCAAAGTTAGATATGGAGAGCCTCTGTGACCTCGAAGATGGCACGCGAGCAGTGCACATGTGGCTTGCATGAAACAAGGTGCTGCTTAATCCAGGAAAGCTTAAAAAAAGATGGTGGCAAAGTTAGGCGAAATATATGTTTTGGATATTCTTTGGGTCTTTCGGTAAAGTCATGTAGATAGTCACGTAGATAGGTTCAAAGAAAAAAACAAAAAATAACAAAAAAGTACGTTTCCTCCTGATGACGACCGCTTGCATTGCGATCAAAACGTCGTAGTTTTTTGTTATTTTATTTGAACCTATCTACGCGACTTTACCGAAAGACCCACAGAATATGAATTTCTGCATTCAGGAAAGCTTTAAGTCAAGAGATATGTTTGGAGTTTGCATGTTCTCCCCGTGGTCACCTGGATATTTTCTCCGGGTCCTCCGGTTTTCCCCTCCACATTTATTATTATATTATTTTGCTGCTATAATTTTCCACGTGATGAGCCACTTTGTCTAGCTATCATTTGTGGCCAGGACGCTTCTGAAAAATAAGCTAATATCTCAATGGGCCTTACCTGGAAAAGAAAAAAAATAATTGTTTAGTTTTAATTGTAAATATTTGAAAAGTGATTTTTTTTAACATTCCTATACTTTGCACTCCTGAGAATAGGTTTTCCCATTTTTTTCTTGCCAAAAAACTGGTGTTAAGATGTTAAAACGCCAAACTGAAATCTTTTACAAGGAATCATGTCTACATTAACCACAATACTTGTGGTCAGAATGATAATATATGCAAAGGTTAATTTTATTTTCATTTTAAAACTTACTTTTTGTTCAGATATTATAACACGTTACTCTTTAAAAGGAAGCACTATATTCAAAATTTCATTTTCTTGTAGGTTGGCTGTTTTTGCCGAATGCGAGAAATTTTATTTTAACACTATTGAAGCAGAACTTGGAAACGTTTTGCTATCAATGGCCAAAATATACATTGCTATTTTTTTACAGGTGATTAATTTGATGCCAGATAATCTAAATAAATTTTGAAATAAAATGGAAGGACATGCGAGTTTAACACAACAGCATAGGAAGAGGCTTCCAAAACTATTCAACACGAATATTTTACATCATGTGACCTCGTTTGCCAGTACCATTACTGATAGTGCATTGTCTTTGGGCTGTACGCCTTTTGGCGTCCTCTGGTCTAACACCATTTGAGACTAGGCTAAAAAGAAAGCTGTCTCTGGCGTGGACCAATGAGTTTCAAGGACAATGCATATATTATCATAGTATGTTTTTTTGTTTGCATTTTGACTGCAGGTATTGTGGTTAATGCAGACATGAATCCTTGTAAAAAGGTTTCAGTTTTGTTGCCAGAAGGGGAAAAACCCTATTATTACATTTTGGTACTGGGAAAGGAGGTCTAATAACGAATATTTTACATCATGGGACCTCCTTTGCCAGTACCATTACTGATAGTGC